CTGAAGATGTCTTACGCCCTCCCTTATCCCCCCTCCATAAACCCCAGTTTAGCTATTTTGTTCCTGAGCTTATCGCCGTAGCAAAAGGTTATGTTTTTGTTGCTTTAAGCTTAGGAATTTGTGGTCCCGCTGCATCAATGCTCAATTAGATAAATGCAACTATATTATTAAACGGTAAGCTAAGCTTAAAAAAAAAAAAACTGTTAGCTTTACGTGACATTCGACCTGAGAGATATAAAATATTATGTAAAAATTATTTCTTTTTTTAATTTAATTCGTCATTGTTGTTATTAATTTCACAGTATAAGAGTGTTAAAATAAATAAAAGAACTCGAACACAGGTGACATTTCAAAAGTATTTAAATTTTCAAATGTCACTTTTCACATTTCAAAAGTATTTTCAAATGTCACTTTTCACTTTTCACTTTGTGGCAATGTTGTAGTAAAGCAATTTTTGAAACTTTTTTTTTTCAAATCTAAAATCTTTTATTAAAACATTTTTTAAAAATAAACAAATTTTGCGCTAGTTTCCGTTCCACCAATGAGAATTATTATTGCTCATGAAATATTAAACTCGTAGGAACGCCATCTTCTTTCCAGAAGTTTTTTTATAACTTGCTAGTGAATCAAAATGAACTTTAAGCATTCATTTTTTCTGAAGTAAATGTAAAATTTATTATCCGTTACAAAATCTTATCAATAAACAAAAACTTCTAGACAATACTTTTTATCTCTACATATTTTTCCGCAATTTTTTCTTCCAAAATCATTATTTTCCACAAGGCTACTAGTCATTCAAATAGTTTGATAATCTGTGCGCCCTTTTTTTTAAAATGTTAGTCCGGAAAAATTGTAAAATGTTAATCTAATCCTTAATTGTAAAATGTTAATCCAGAAAAACTTAATGCTAGGCTATATATGCACCTAAATTTCTTAAAGCAGCATGTTATAAACCATTTTATACTTCCTCTTAATTGAGTTAACTTTCAAGCCAAACTTTCAAAATCCAACCTTTAAATTTCTTAGAATTGATCAATTTTTCATGGACTTTCTAATCTGTTACCATTAAAAGTTTACTCCCAAGTTAAAAAGTTTCCATTATCAAAGCTACCTTTTCTTAAAATCATCCATACAAAAAGTCATAAAGTTAACAACTTTGATGATAAGCAGCAATTAAATCAAGCAACAACAGTGGCTTCGACAACAACACCAGTAATAAATCAAGACAAGTGTACAAAGTACTGTAAAAAGGCTGTCCCTAAATTACGCCAACATTTTTTTGGAAATTTTGACCTTTTTAAATTTCCAGAGACCCTTGTTCTCTCTAATAAAACAACATTCAATAACCCTTCATCCCCCCTCCCCCTAAACATACCTCTGTTAATGAATCAATTGCAACGATGGTTAATAATACATAATATTTATCATAGTTTATGAACAGTACAGAGTCACAATCCTTGAATTTGCAATATTTCTCACTTTAATTTTAGACCTAATTTTATTTCACATTGAAAGCTTTTCAATGTGATATAGTATTAGACCTTTCTAATAAAGTTAAGTGTAACAAAAAATGCATTTAATATTTTGCATAAACCAGAGGTCGCCAACCTTTAAGACCGAGGAGCAAAGAGTTACAAATTTTTTAGTTTTTAAAGAGCTTCCAACACTTTTGTTTCAATATTATAATAATGTTTTTGCATGGAGTGCCGCATCTTGAAATTGAAAGAACCACATAAGGCTTGCAAACCGCAAGTTGCCAACCCCTGGCAACTTGCGGTTGACCCTTGACTAAACATCAAGAACTTTGAAAAAATAATAGTGTTACGAGTAAACATCTTGTGTGTGCTTATTTAGTTCTGTATGAGTCGGGTCATTTTAAAGCACAACACGGTTTTTGAAAAGTAGAAATACAAGCTTTTTAAAATACTGGTTGATTATGTTAAGGTTGATCGAGTGAGTAACACAGGACTGCAAACGCTGCCTAGTTTTTCTTTTTTTAAGTAATTAATATTTATTTAAAAAAGTAACATTGTTGAATTCAACTTGTCTTGACCTTCCCCCCTCCCCTCTTGCTCTTCTCAAAAATTTGTTGACAACAATAATTCGAAATTAAACACATTATAGTTTTATTTTCTAGATTGAAATAATCGAGCAAAATAATCGAGCAAAATAATCGAGCTGAACTGATTCTTCTTGTTCAACCACGTATAAATCATAGACACATTATAGTTTTAATAGTCCTGGTTAAACCTATAAGATGGATTCTTTATATGGCAAAACTTCTACCTTGATTATCTGGTTATGAGATGAAAAATAAGTTCAACTCAACTTTCATTTGACTTACAAGCCAGAAAGTATCAAACAACTAATAATTGCTTTGCTGGTTACATGCTGGTTATAAATATAGATTCTTTTGCCTGTAAACTGTTATCACGTTCATTTTGACAATAAGTTTGTGTTCACAAATAACTTGTTAATAAGAGTGCTTTCGCCTTAATCATCAAAAAAAGAAAAGAAAATTAAAACATAGTTTTTCCTCCTAGGTAGTTTTATTTTAGTCTCAATTTTTTTTATCCGTCTTTTTATAAAGAAAAAAAAAGACCAAAATACAATCCAAACACAAAATTCTTATACAATTTTTACTTAAATGAGCTCTTCCTAATATAAAATTTGTTAAAAACTGATCAAACCAACAAATCTTACGATCAAATTCTCTCTCATACGAAAAAAATGCTTAACTTTACTAAAAACAACCTTATGTTAACCAAATATAATTTCTTTTTTAATTTAATTGAATAATTTAAGGTTTTAAGTAATTAAAAGCGCAATATTTACTTAGTGATACTATCTCTGTTTCCAATAGCTTTTCAAACTTACTTAAAGTTAAAAAAATTATATACAAAAAAACTTAAAATTTCTCTTAAATATGTTGCTCTAATAACGCATCATTATAGGGATTCAATAAAAAGGTTGTGTTGACTCCGGTCATCCGTATACTTTTTGAACACCTGTCTTTTTAAATTTTTTTTTTTTTTTATGAAAACGTTCTTTTCTTTGTAAAAGCAAACGTTTCTTTGTATTTTACTTTTTTTAATTGTATGAACAGCGAAATATATGTTGGAAAAAACACCATGAACTTTCTATTTAAAAAAATTTTGAACAAAAAACAAAAGAAACTTGCCATGAACAGGAGAATTTTAATGCTTAATTAAAATGGTATTTACTTAACGTGCACCTCAATATATGTAAAAAATATTACGTTTAAGTTCTTTCGTTTTCAAAAAATGCCGACTTCTTTTTTGCGCGTTCTGATTTGTTTTTTTTTATTAAAAAAATCATAAAACCCTGTCTTATTTTGTTTATAAATATTCGGCGAATTTAATTTTTATGTATTTTAAGTTTTAGCTAATTACTATAGGGCAAGAAATACGTTAAAACTGAAACGTTTATTTTTTTGCAATTAATTTAAACGACTATAAAGAGAAGGATGAAAATTTACTTATGAAAGTAAATTGTCTGAAGTGAAAACTAATGAGGAAATTTCGATTTTAACGTTTTTATTATTTACGGAATAGTAAAATATGAAGTTTAGAGCCATTTTAATGAATATTTTAATCCTGGAAACAAAGAGGCTTTTAAATTTTGAATAAAAGAGACATTTTTGAATTTAAAATTTTAAAAAAGTAAAATTTTCAACTTTACCATCTAAAACTAAATTTAAACTTATCGATAGATTTGAAACTTCGTAGAAAAACATTGTAAAAAACAAAAGTTATAATCATGCAAATTTTCAGACCCCCTTATTTTGGCGGGTCAGAAAATTAGCATGGTCATAATTTTTGCCACCCTCTTGTATACTTGTCCTGAGTAAGGCGTATTTCAAGCAACCTAATTTTTGCGTCGACAAAAAACAGTTTTTAGCAGTACCGTAGCTTTTTTGGTTGGATGCCCCCTCCCCCACAATTAAGAGGTTGTGTAGCCGACCCTCGGCACTTGGTTTCAGGCATTGTTTTCAATATTACTGATCTCGCGTAAGACTCGTTTTTAACGGACTTACTAAATAGGGGTGCTTGAAAAAAATCTTCGCCTAAATTATAGTTTATTTTTATTTGATCCGTCATTAAAACAAAAAAAATACCATATGACTTGCCTGAATCGAACTCCGGTCTCTGCGGTCGAATTTCACAATATTAACCTCTCAGCCAAACACTCCACCTTTTTTTTTTCAATAAAATTTTTTATTTTGTTTTTCTTTTAACTTTTCCACACAATGGAAAACACAATGGAAAACACAATGGAAAACTAAATGAACCATCTTTTAAAACCCAGAAGTATGGTAAACATTCTATTGTTTATCAATGCGTCCGCGAATGGAACAGGAGCCTTGCATGCATTTAGAATGAGTCCAAAAAAATATATCCTAAAATATCTTTACTCCATCTTAAACAATATCAATTTAAATAAGTTCTAAAAAACTTTTTATTCTAACTTTTAGGCATTATTATCCTTACGATTAAAATATTATTTTAATTTTCTTTTCGTATTTACTACAATTATCATTAGAACTTTTTGTTTATTTATTTATTTATTTTTTATTATTAAAACCTGCGAATTGTTTAAACCTACATGTTTGTTTTGATGTATATTTTATGTGCTTTGCTCTGTGTGTTTACGGTCCTTGTGTTTCAGTGTGTGCCTTCGTTTATTGTTATTTATATTATATTAAAAATTGATGTCACTACTTTGATCTGATTTCTGTATGAGTTTCATCATCGTAATAAATCATTAACTTATTATTATAAATAATTTTATGCTTGTAAAAATGATTTACGGAAAATAAATTGCTTGTTGTTGTTATTGAAAAAAAGAAAAGTTAGGGGAGGGGGGAGGTATTTGAAATACGTACGTACTTTTTAAGGGGGGTGGGGACTTACGCATGGCAACAGGGGGGAGTACACATGGCAACAAGGGGAGGGTCAAATTTCAAAATATTTGGCGTACGTACTTTATGGACGACCCCTAACTACGCTGGGTAGTAGCAAAAACCAAGTTTTTTTTTAAATTTATTTTTAAATTTATTGGTTTATTGGCCGCGCCGCCGTAGACTATGCGTCGTTACTTTTATACTGACAACAAGATAAAAGTTTTCTTACTTGGATTTTTGGTTGGTTTAATAATAACAATTTTGCTAAACAGTTGGTTGGTGGAGCAAAAAGATTACTATCCTAGTCCAACTACAAATGATTGCTACAAGACTTTGACTTCACCAGCAATATTCAATAAATTAAATGTAAGTTTGTGTTCAAACAATATTTAATTTTATTTCTTTTGTTTCTAGAAATAAAATATTATTTTGAAATTTTATTGTACAAGCTAAAAAACCATTTTTGTTTAAGGATTTGTATTCAAAGAAGGAAGAAACTGTTGCTCTTAAACTTGCTCAAAAAGTTAGAATTTTATGTTGGGTGATGACACATCCTGTCACAATTTACAAAAATGCAAAGGCAGCACGTGATACATGGGGAAAGAGATGTAATATTATTTTGTTTATGAGCTCTGTTCAAGATGATTGTTTTCCAGCTGTTGGACTTGGAGTAGCAGAAGGTCAATTTTTTTAAAAAGAGTTTAATGTAAAGCAATGTTTTTATTTATTTTGTTTATTTATTTATTACTTTTAGGTAGAGAAAATTTATGGCTGAAAACCAGAGCAGCATGGAAGTATATATTTGAAAATCATTTCAATGATGCTGAATGGTTTATAAAGGTTGATGATGATGCTTTTGTTGTTCTTGAAAATCTACGTTTATTTTTAAATCCGTATCGAACAACTGATCCCCATTATTTCGGACGTCATTTTCAAACTTTCAAAGGTTATAATAGTGGTGGTGCTGGCTATGTGTTTAGTAAAGAAACATTGCGCAGATTTGTTCGTGTTATGAAAGATCCATTTCTTTGCAAAGAAGTCTCAGATTTTGAAGATAAAGAGATTGGAGTTTGTCTTAGTGCTGTTGGAATATATCCTGAAGAAACACGAGATATTAAAGGGAGAGAAACATTCCATCCATTTCATCCATTAGTTCATGTAATGCCTGGTCTTATGAAAAGCAATAATTGGTTATATCAATACAGTAAATGGGAAGTTCGCATAGGTCCTGAATGCTGTTCAGATAACAGCATTGCATTTCACTACATCAAACCAAATGACATGTATTTTTTAAACTTTGTTCTTTACCAGGTTCACCCCTTTGGGATTAATCATTCTAATGTTTTAAACTACCAAGTTCAGTAGAAAATTATTTGTTTTAGGTTATTTTATTTATATCACTTTAATATCTTTTATTTCTTTTATTTACCAAGGTTTTTAAACTTAATTTTATAATATCTGTTTGATAAATTAGGTTTTGCAATTATAAGATTTGCTAAGTTTATCCAGATTTAATTGAGCATCATATATATATATATATATATATATATATATATATATATATATATATATATATATATATATATATATATATATATATATATATATATATATACATACATATATATACACAGGGCCGGATTTAGCCTTTTAGGCTTATTTAGGCCCCTAAGCCAAAACATTTTTGAGGCCCCTAAAATAATTTAATTTTTGGGAAAAAAAAATTTTCATTTTTTTATTTAAAATTTTATTATTTAAACAAAACAGTGTGAATATTGAGAATTTAATGAAAAACAAATTTTACAACATTTTTCTCCTACATTTTTCTCTAGAAAATTCATCAATCAAATTGTCAATGTCAAGAGATTTTATCAAATCTATATTACAAGATAAAATTGCTAAACTATTCAACGTGTCTTGAGCCATAGTAGATCTTAAATGTCTTAATTAATTTAATTTTTGAAAAACTTCTTTCGCCAGTACAATTTGTAATCATTAAGCATAAAAATATTCTTAAAAATGTTTCTAGGTTAGGAAAAGTCCATTTTTTTCTCTCTAATTATCTTATATAACCACAAATGTGTGACAGTGACTTCTGGATAATTATTTTTAATAAATTTGTGATTTTGTAAAATTTCATCAAATAATGAAGAATCAATATCTCCATGATATTGTTTCACAGCTACTTCAACACTTGATTTCAACGTTTCACTAGAGACATTTGTATCAATCAAAAATCCAAAAATTTTATGAGCTTCTTCATACGCCACAGATCTTTGTTCTAAATTCGAATGAATAGCATCTAAATTTTTAAAGAAAACGTTTTTCTTCAAAATGTCTCTAGGACTTCGAATTTCGCGATTTGGTTGAGTATCAACATAAAAAGTTTTCTTAATTCGTTGTCTTTTACTGTTGAGCTTGTTGACCCGCATCAGGTAATAATAACTTGGCTTCAGCTTCAATTTTATCAAAACTTTCTCTCAGGCCCAAAATAAAATCAACCAGAGATGACAACAATTTACATGCTGTATCCAAAGTTATTTTTGAATCTTGTAAACTTTTTGATACTGCATTTATTCTTTGCAATATTGTGTTCCAAAATATTGTTTGTAGTGCAAATTCAAATTCTTCCATTTTAAAAAGAATATTTTGTGCTTGTGCTTGAGCTGATGAATCAAAATTTTCATCTTCAGAAATCCAAGCCAAAGAATTAATTATGTTCTCATAATCATTTAATGACTTTTACTGAATCTGCACGAGCACTCCATCTTGTCTTCGAAAGATTTTTTACAGAATATTTTGAGTTTTTTTCAAGTACACTCCATCTTTTTGTTGATGCAGAAAAAAAATTGTAAATAAGCTCAACTATCCCGAAAATATTTACAGAGTCTATACAAATTCCTGCACCAGAAGGACCAACCAAATTTAATGAGTGTCCAGCACATGGTAAAAATTTTGCTAGATTATTCTTTTCCAAAATTTTTGTTTACATGCCTTTGTATTTTCCGGTCATATTGTATGCATTATCATATGCCTGAGATTTGCAATCTGAGAAATTTAATCCTGCATCGACGGTCAAAAAATCAACGGTGGTATCGGCAAGAGTTTCTCCGGTGTGATTTTCTGGTGTTACAAATTGAAGAAATCTTTCAATGGGTTCAAAGGAAATTTGCTCTATATATCTCACAACTGCACAGAGTTGATCTTTATGAGATATATCTGGTGTGGAATCTACTGAAATTCCATAATACTTTGACTTTTTTACTTCGCCAACTATAGCCTCGAGTACTTTTTTCGCCATTAATGAAACGAGTTCATCATACACAGTTTTGAAGAGATACGATGTGTGTCCTGAACCAGCGTGACCATAATTTTTAATATGTTCAGCTAGAAATGGGTCAAACTTCGCAACTAATTCCAATAGTCCTATGAAATTTCCACTCCCTTCAATGCCAAATCTTTCATTCGAACCTCTAAAGGCTAGATTTCCTTTAATCAATATACTAATCACAGCTACAACACGCTCTAGAATCTTTCGCCAATATTTCTGTTTTTTTCTTTGTTTCATCTTCTAAATGACCATCCAATGTTTTATCACTTCTATGAACCAAATAACTCATTAAAGTTTCTCTGTGTTCAGTAGAGCTTTCATGGCTTTTCAATAAAGAACTTGCGTTTTTCCAATCTTTTAATCCTTTTGTTGCAAGAAAGAATTTGGAAATTTTAAAAATAGTACATACAAAGCAAAAAACAGTATTTTTTGAAGGAGAATACACTAACCATTCATGAATATATTCTTCTCCGTTTGCTCTATTTCCATAAAAAACTGTTTTGAACCATAATGGTCATGATCATTGTAATTTTGTTTTGATGTTCGAAAATTATTGTTCAAGTTCTGCAAATTTTTTGGACCTTGTGTGACCCAGAATGAAACATCATCAGACAGTTCTCCCCATTGTCCAATATCATCAATTCTGTTTAATTTTAATTCAATGTCGATTTCTAAAGGATGATCAGCTACATTATCAAATGAAGTTGGGGTTCTTGACGATAAAGCTATTTCATCTAGGAGTTCTGGAGTATTTTTCTCTTCTTTTGAAACTGTACTACTTTCCTCAATTTTATTTATGTTTCTGACAAAGAAGGAAACTAGTTTTGGAAGTTTTTTAACTTCTTCTTTTTCTGCTTTGCTCTTTCTTTTTTGGGCTCCACTTTCATAACTCCTTTTCATTATGCTAATAAAAATAAGCCCATATCAAATTAACAAACTCTAAAAGTTTACTATCACTCACCTTAATTGATGGAAAAATCTAAGAATTTTTTAATATTTTCACAAATTTTTATTTGTTTTGCACTGATACAAATTTTAATCAAAATGGAGTTGACAGTTGACAGAATTTCGTTGTATATTCAAAATTCTTTCAATAGATGTCACTAGGTATAAGAAAAAAATATAAACCGGTGTTTTTTATTTTTCTACACATTATTTTTAGTTTTCAACTTTTTATGTTTATTAAATTTTGGGGCCCCCAAATGTTGGGGGCCCTAGGCCGTGGCCTAGTCGACCTATAGGTAAATCCGGCCCTGTATATATATATATATATATATATATATATATATATATATATATATATATATATATATATATATATATATATATATATATATATATATATATATATATATATATATTTCTCTCCTAGTTTAAATTCTAATAAAAATGACAAAAAACAGCTCTTAAATTGATTCAAGAATCTAATTCATCAAAATCTGGATTGCTTGAAACAATTTAATAAAATAAAAAGGCTCATTAAATTTATTCTTTTAAATAAAAAATTGATTATTTTAGCAACAATTGCAAAGATTAGTATGTTTATATTTTTTGTTTTGTGTTTTTAGTTTTTAATCCTTTTTTATGTTGTTTTTATTATTTTAATTTATTTTCTTTGGGGCTGTCCATTAATTTTGTCGACAATTTTTTTGAAGTTTTTACCTCCCCCTCTCCCTCTTGTCAACAATTTGTCAAATTTCCAAAGACCCCCCTATAAAATTACATCAATTTTCGATTACTGCCCCTTCCCCCTCCGCTATTTAAGCAATGAAACTCAAAAAAAATAAAAAAATTGTTGACATCAACTTTAATTGACCTCTCCCCTCCCACTTGTCAACAATTGTCAAAAACGTTCAGACCCCTTCCCCCTATTTTGTTGATGTTATTAATGGACAATCCCTTTTATTAAATACTTTTTTTTTTTAAATTGCTATATTTATTTTTTGAACACATTTAAATTTACAATTAACAACTGTTTTATTTAATCAAAGGCACAACAGAGTGTACATACATAATTAGAGGCTTTTAAATAAGCAGACAGTCTGATGATAAAGTTTTTTTAATGTTTTTAAACTTTCTTCTTTTATAACTATTTTTAAATCAGATTTAATAGTTTTATTACAATAGTTATATATAATAATTTAATAATTATATATATATATATATATATATATATATATATATATATATATATATATATATATATATATATATATATATATATATATATATATATATATATATATATATATATATTATAACTATTGTAAAAAAGTTTTATCTGACGCTGTAACCTGCTATTCACAAATCATGAAATCTCATATTTCATCTCAAAAATTAGGCTCTCAAAATTTCTGGAGAATCTTTAACTCTATCTATAATAAGGGCAAATCTGTTATTCAACCTCTCTTGTATGGTTTACATTTTGTCAACTCACCTTAAAACTAAGCTAAATTGTTTGCTAATAACTTATCATCAATATCATCTCTTGACTCAACTAGTTACGTTCTACCTGATATAGCTGTCAAACAGGTTGATCCATTGCTTGATATTCGTATCACACTAGCTTCTGTATCAAAGTGATTTCTTGCTTAGACTCCTACAGCTTGTAGTCCGGACAACATACCTGTTATAGCCTTGCAGAAGTGTTCTTCAGAGCTGTCGCCCATACTTTCAAAACTATTTAACAAATGCTTATCAGAGTCTTATTTTTCAGCCTGTTGGAAAGCGGCATCTGTTATCCCTATTTTGAAGAGTGATCTGACTTGTATAACTACTATCCCATTAGTCTTCTTCCTATCATAAGAAAAGGTTTTTGAGTCTTTAAGCTTACTTTCTAATTATTGATATGGATTTCAATCTTCTTGTTCTAGGGCTGATTTGCTAACAGTAATAACCGATAAGTTTCATCTTGCATTAGATAGTCATTAGTGGAGAGGTTAAGGCTATCGCTCTCGTTATTTCTGAAGCTTTTGATCAAGTTTAACATACTGGTCTTCTCCTTAAGCTTTCTTCTTTTAGTGCATCAGATAATATCTTTAAAATTATTGAATCCTTCCTTACCGATTGTAGTAT